GTCATGAGCAACCTTCAACCCCTCTTCTAATTACCTCCAAAAGCAGTGACCAAAGAGAAAACTCTTCGATAGTCTTGAATTTAAGAGAGAATTCTTGAATGGGTTCTGAAATTTTCTATCCCAAGTGAATCAAAGCATGGTCAAATGAAAGGCTAAGTGAGGGTTTGATAGAGATAGTGAGGCAAGCAGGTCACATGAAAATGGGGTTGGGATTTGGATGTAATTCATTAAATAATGGGCCTCACCTAATAATTTGATGAAGGGTAACATCAATTCAGCTTTAAAATATTTGAAATTTGACACTGTTAACTTTTTGGGTAGAAATTTCAAATGTTGAGGATTTGAGGGGTATTTTTGCAAATATGAAGATTTGGAGTGTAAAATTGCAAATATGAAAGATTTTAGGGGTAAATATGTATACCCCCTAAATTTAAAACTATTTGTATCAAGCTCTCAGTTGAAACTGCTAAAGAGATGAAAATCATCAACTTGGTTATGTCAGCATTTAGCTTTCAGTTCAAGTCTGGACACACAAAATAAAGGAAGTGAGCAACAAGAGCAATTCTTGGAATATCAATAATTTTGATTGTGGAAAAGGAGTAAATAGATTATGTACGTACCGGGTTGAAGCGGATGCATAACTGCGAAGAAGTTCCATATATTACACGAATGCAGTGGCCCTTAGATATCTCCCATACCCGAACAGTTTTATCCATTGAGGATGAAGCAATATACTGATTATTAGAGGAAAAATCAAAATCTGTAACCTAGTTAGCATATCAAATATAACAGAGATATCACTGTGTATAAGCAAGAACAGTAGATCAATTGGTCTAAAGTTGTTGTCCTGTTGCGTGTATCAACATTTAAAAAGTGCCTCGTAAAAATTGATAAAATAACCATATATAAAGTACCAAAAGAAATTCTTTTTAAGTTATATGACGTGAAAAATGATAAACTGGAGCTACCTGAGAAACATATCAAGTATATGTTCACTATATTTGAAAAATGATAAATTATTCAGTATGAAAATGTAATATATTCCCTGAAAAATATTACAAAGCCAATCAACTATAAAGCTAAAAGTGATGAATGTAATTTGATGAGCATTTAGGAATAGATTTCTTTCCCCAAGCTAGGAGAGGCTAAAAGCACTGTCAAAGATGAGTAAGAAAGTATTGACATAGAATATAATTGCTTTTTGAGTACAAATGTCAACATATAGATTTGAAATGGTGAGAATAAGAATATACAATCCAAATTAAATTGAGAGGACCCCAGAAAGTGATTAATTATTACAAACTGCTAGCATTGGTGAAGCTGATGACAACACATTGAAAAATAGCCTAGCTATGGAAATTATTGGCAAGAGAGGTTATAAGCGTAACCTAAAAGACCAGCTGACAGACAAGCCAGCGTGCCTCACTGGTCATCTCATCAGGAACTAAACCCCGGAATAATACAAGGAATACAATTTAGAACAAAAAGGACAGGGTGATGTTTGCTAATAGAATCGATGTTAGAAAAAGCTTTCTGAAACTCGCTTTGGAACTTTTTGAAGGGTAAACACTTCAAAACTCAAGAGTGAAGCTATATATCCCTTGAAGCTTACGCGTCATCGCTTAAAACATAACCGAAGTGTGCACTTTGCGCTTCATAAAACGCTCTCTTTTGAAGCGCACACTGTAGACAAGATAGGAAGATATAAAAGGATTTTTTACTAATGTTAAAATATCCCTATGAATCTTCAATATACCCATTGGAGTATAAATAAGATTTATATGTCATGCGTATAGCTTAGTTTATCGTGATTTTCATCTATACTTCACATGTTTAATCTTATTTACTAATCAGGACATGAATGTATCTAAATGTCTATCTGTAAATTATCATACCACTTATATTATATGTTTATAATTTTTACAGATTTTAAAATTGAAATGCAATTCATGAGGCTTATGCCTCACGCTTTGAAGCTTGCGCTTTACTTCATTAAAGGGTCTTAACGCCTCGCCTTGCACTTCCGCTTTTTAAACATTGAATGGAATCAAGGTAAAACAAAATATGGGCTAGAGACCAACACGCGCTGCAGGGAATCACATTCCTTCAAAAATTTGTCAAAAGAGAAAGAGGGTAACAATACATTTAATCAATGTTACATTAAACGCTGGGCGCTTCTAGGCGTCAGACTTGGCGCCCAACGCTTAGTCACCTAGGCGGGCGCCTAAACGGTTTCTGGGTGTTTTTTTCTTTCTTCATTTAAGTGGTGGTCGATGAGGTTTTGCTGAAGGTCGGAGGAGATAGTGGAGGTGTTCATATTTGGAGGTTAATGGAGTTTGGAGGATGTGTAGGTTACGACACATAAAATCACAATCAAGGCCTACAGGGTGCAATCCACGTAAGCAGATAATGCTCCCCTAAAGGCTCGTAAAATCTAGATGGGCAGTCTAAATACCGTCTAGGCGCTAGGCGCTAGTTAGGCGGCCTAGGTACCGCCTAGGCCTAGGCGTACGCCTAAACGGACTAGGCGGAGGTTTTTTAAAACAGTGCATTTAATTGCTGTCATAATGTAAAATCACCTAAAAAAAGTGGAAGCGCAAGGTGAAGGTTAGACCCTTTAATGAAGCGAAGCGCAAGCTTCAAAACGTGAGGCGTAAGCCTCATGAGTTTAAGTATTTTAATTTTAAAGTTTTCAAAAAGTATGAACATATAATATAGTGGTATAATAATTTTCTAATAGATATATTCATGTCCTTATTTGTAATTTGTAAATAAGAAATAAATATGTGAAGTATAGATGCAACTCGTAATACACTAAGCTACATGCGTACTTATAGATCTTATTTATAGTTACATGGTCATATCGAAGATACGTAGGGGCATTTTAACGTTAATAAAAAAATCCTTTTGTATCCTCTTATTTAGTCTAAATCACGCGCTTCTAAAGAGAAGCATTTTATGAAGCGCAACACCCACTTCAGTTATGCTTTAAGCGATAAGGTGTAAGCTTCAAGGGATAAATAGCTTCTCTCTTGAGTATTGGAGCGTTTACCCTTCAAAAAGTTCTGAAGCGAGTTTCAAAATAGCTTTTCCAAACATTGTGTAAAATAAACAAATATATATTAAAGAAAATAGCAATAGAATAGAAAAACTGCCAAGAATTTCATGAAATATTTAATGAGAATTTGAATTTCAGACCACTCAAATGAATTCCACTGATCCTGAATGATGGTGGCATAAAGCCCACTCTTGAAAAGAAGAGAATATTAGTCGTTGCCTAGATTACTCATAGCACTCATTGGGAAAGCAACGGAAGAAGAAACTAAGAGGTTGTTCGGGCATTGGATTTGTATGTTGGATTTATGACAATGTTACAAATCTAACAAATCCTTAACTATCCAAATTTTAAAATTTGAGTTTGATTTGTAGGAAAATTGAATGAAAAGTTTGTTTTAAAAATAGATTCAAACAACTATGTTTTGTTTGTAAAAGAACAATAAAATTTGAAGTTTATATAGTGGTCCCTCGAATGATCGATATGGTAGTTGAAATAATTTTTTTAATATTGATAATCATTTTGTTTACAATAAATAAGAAAATAAATAAAATTAAATTTATGGATTTTCTGAGGTTTTTTTGTTGTTTTAAATTTATTTTGTTTAATTTTTAAAGCTCTGTGGGACCAAATTCTGTAATTTCTCAATATAAATCCTCCATTTTGATTCCGATTTTGACATGGTAATTATGTCAAAATCAGTAGCATTGTCCCTTCTTATAGCCCCATACAAACAGACGCACAAAACACCTCTAGGAAAGTTGGTCTGTCAAAAAGTTTGTGAGGAGACCCATTTTCTGACACATAACCTTTGAATTCCAGCTAATTCGTTGGAAACAGACAGTCCCTAAATTTAGAGATGTACAATAATGACATAACTCTTATATCTCAGATTTGTGATATGTTTCATCTGTCAAATCCAAACCTTTCAAGAATTTTTCTTGTTTCTTTATTTCACAAAAACCATGTATTACCAATATTACAATATGACATCCAGTCTGACAATAAAATCTGAAAGTGAAACTAGCACTGCATAATATTTCTATTATAACTTTTTTAGCTGCAGAACACAATAATTTAAGGATTTCAAAACAGATGTCATCTAGTCTCACCTGTTATGGATTTTGAATGTCCTCTTAATTGTTGAAGAGCAGAAGGTGACTCAGAGACGAGGCATATTGTCAAGCTCCCATCAGATGCACCAAATGCAAGGAGATCGGAACTCATGTGTCCAAATTTCAAAATGGTAACTGAATGATAACTTATTAGTTTGTTTTCTTTTCGGAGTAACTTCTTTGTATAGATGGAAATAAGAGAGTAATGTGAGGCATTAATCACCTGAAGCTTTGCAGTTGTCAAAGATAGAGTGCATTCCAACAAAGGAATATGCAGGTTCAGCTAATCGCGCTTGGCGATCAGCATCACCTGTACTTGAGCTGAAACTTGAACGATGGCCAAAAGAATTATTCAAACTTCTTAAATCCTGCAGAAGATATAATAAGGACACGGTGGTTACAATGCAAATCTGGAAATAAACTGGTAGACACATGATGAGAACATATGACAGACAAGGATTTCGTGAACTAACTTATGGTCTTCAAAGCAAAAGGTTACCATGTAAGAAACTGTAACAACTAGGAAATGAAAGCAGATCTTCAAAGTAATAGGGACTAGGTCATGATGCAAAAGTTTGGTATCAAAGCTTTGTTATTGTTGTTATACATGTTGAAGAACAAGAATACTGCAAGAATACTGAAGGAAGTGGAGAAGTTCAACAGAAGAGTCAACAGTGAAGGTGGGACATATTACATAAGAAACAGTGCTTACATACAAATTTCATTTAGAAAGGAGAATTTGCCCATACCAGAAGCATTGAAAAGGATTAAAAGTTGGGAGTGGTGCACCTCATCGAGAAGAATGCTTGAAAAACTGGAGTAAGGCAAATTTAACCTTGAGGAAACTTTCTGTTGCATGTCTGTGGAATGGTACATGCATTTATCTCCAAGTAATTGTGAATAAAAGTATCCCTATATATATAACTGTAACACAGAGACTGTAACTGAAAATTTTACACGTTTACACCATCCAGTATGATCCCCAAAGCTTAAAACACATGAGTGAGAGAAGCCCGTATATCTTGGATAGTTCTTGAGATGATTTATAGTACATAAAGTAGTAAAAAAATAATCATACTGTCAGTTAATTCATAGGTAGATTTTCTCAGAAAATTTATGTTTAGTCCACGAATGTGGAAAGCTTATATACAATAATGATCGTTTGGTCACCAATATGTCATTCAAGCCCTGGTGTGAACCTTCCTCACTAAATTCTCTTCATATACTCATGGGAAAAAATCTGTTCTGCATAAAAAACACCTTTAATAGGAGAAGATGATGATGCATGTAGAAAATATATACATACCCTGCTAGAAGTACGACTGCCTGTCTCAAATACTATGGATTGTGGAATAGAGAATGAAGCCCAACGCCCACTGGTACATCAAAGATTAACTTTATGTCAGATCCTTGGCAAAACAGAAGCAGATACAAACCTCAAATCTTGGCAGCTGAGGTATAGAATAAATAGCCTAATCACAGTAAATAATAGTTAAAGATCAAGAACATATGGACCCATTGATTTGACAAACCACGTTATCCTCAATCTCACTGCCATCACTGATCCAAAACAATGAAAGTGATCACTCTTAGGCATTTCTAAAACGCTGCAGTTTATTATACTCTTAATTATTCTTCACAGTCCTACTAAAGTAAAATTATATTTTCTATATTATGCTTTTGTGTTAGTACTCTTGTTTTGATGATGATTTACAAACCCTATTATTGGTGCTAATTGCTTGTTGAGTGATATTGTGCAGATTACATTTTTGTCAAGCAATATAACGCCACTTTTGGAAAATTGGATGGAATATCAGCTACATCGATGGTATCCAAGGAGGTGGAGGCAAGTTGATGAATACAAGCTTTCAAGAGCAACTTGCACAAGAGAAGCTTCATCAACATATGAGCAAATATCAAAACTTAAGCATTGTATTCATATGTGAGAGATATTTGTATTTTTATTCTCTCTAGAGTTTAATGTAGGCAAGTCATTGAGTAGATAACACTTGAAGCTATTGGGGTTCACACATACACACACTTATAAAAACATGTTTTTGACCATTTTTGAAAAATGATAAGTTTTTACAATTGGAAAATGATCTTTCAAAAATTTCCTTTCTAACATGTTTATATTCATGTTTATAAATATTTTCCAAAGTTTTACAATTTTTAAAATTTATTTGATATTTTATTTTGAATTTACAAAATCAGATTTTTAACTATAATCAGATTTATGGATGTATCTGTTTTCGGTCGACCGGGCATTGCCTGTAGGTCGACTGACCAGAGAGCTAGTTTTCGTGACCCTGCAGACAGTCACCTTCGGTCGACTGATTTATATTGTGCGGTCAACCAATGACTGAGGATCGGTCGATCGGAACAACATTGTCGGTCGACCGAATCAGTTCAAGATTGTTGAGTCTGCAACGGTCAAATAGTCGGTCGATTGGACATGATCCGTCGGTCGACCGGATCTACTATAACGGCTAGTTTTTATTTCAGCTGAATTTTTCAGGATTTTGGTACTTATTTGGGATTTGAGCTATTGTTTGGGGTTCCTATATATACCCCATTGCTCCTTCACTTCAGTAATTAGGCAAGCAAAGAAAAATCCCTAAGTTTTGTTTAGGGTTCCTATATATACCTCATTGCTCTCATAATGACATTGAGGGAGGATTGAAACTTTTGTAAATAAATAACAATCCCTCAACACTTGCATCAAAGGATGGGGAAGGACTTGAACCTAATCAAGAAGAACTCCCCAAAGCATGGAAGTTTGCACCAGATCATCCTAAGGAGCAAATTATCGGAAGCCCATCAAAAGGAGTTTTGACTCGCTCAAAGGCTATGAGCGAGTGTGGTAATGTTGCTTTCTTATCCCAAATTGAACCTAAACGTGTTGATGATGCTTTAAATAATGAATTTTGAATTTAGCCATGCATGAAGAATTAAATAATTTTTAAAGAAATAATGTTTGAAAACTTGTTCCTAGACCTAAAGATTTTCATGTTATTGGAACAAAATGAGTTTTTAGAAATAAACTTAATGAATTTAGTATAGTGACTAGAAATAAAGTTCGTTTAGTTGCCCAAGGATACCATCAAGAAAAAGACATTGATTATGACAAAACTTTTACATCGGTTGCAAGATTAGAGTCAATTAGAATGTTTTTAGCCTTTACGAGCTTAAAATTTTAAATTATTTCAAATGGATGTTAAAAGTGTTTTTATTTCAAATGGATGTTAAAAATATTTTTTTGAATAGGTTTATTGAAGAAGATGTGTATGTCGAGCAACCCTCCGGTTTTATTGATCCACTATTTCCTAATCATGTTTACCAGATATAAAAAGCTTTGTATGGGTTAAAACAAGTTTCTAGAGCTTGGTACGCTCACCTCTCAAGTTTTCTTCTTGACCTTGGTTTTTCAAAAGGAAAAATTAATAATACTCTCTTTGTTAGAAAAATAAAAAATAATTTTATCTTAGTTCAAATATATGTTGATATTATTTTTGGTGTCACTAATGAATCATTGTACAAGGAATTTTTAAAGGTTATGCAAGATCAATTTAAGATGAGCATGATGGGAGAGCTTACATTCTTTCTCGGTCTCCAAGTCAAACAAACCAATGATGAGATATTCGTGTCACAAAGCAAATACGCTAGAGAGTTGGTCAAGAAATTCGGAATGGAAAATTCCAAGCATGCACCAACCCTTATGAGCACCACCATCAAGTTGGATTTGGATGAAAGTGGTGAGAAGGTAGACCAAAAACTTTACCGATGTATGATAGGTAGTTTATTTCATCTCACTGCTAGTAGACCGCATATTATGTTTAGTGTTTGTGCATGTGCACGTTTTCAAGCCTCTCGTAGAAAATCTCATCTTATTGCGGTTAAAAAATTATTAAATATATGAATGGCACTATAAAACTTGATTTCTTTTATCCTAAGAACACTTCTTTCGATCTTTGTGGTTATTGTGATGCCAACTTTGTCGAATGTAAGGTATATCGTACGAGTACAAGTGGAACATGTTAATTTTTGGATAACTAACTTGTTTCTTGGTCCTCCAAGAAACAAAATTATGTTGCCTATCCACTACAGAAGCGTAATACATTACCGTCAGTTTATGTTGTGCACAACTTTTATGGATGAAACAAAATTTAGTTAATTTTGATTTATATTTTTTTGATACAAAGATATTTTGTGATAATACTAGTGCTATTAATATTTTAAATATTCTGTTTTACATTCTAGAACCAAGCATATAGATGCACGCCATTATTTCTTACGTGATCATCTAGAGAGAAAAGATGTATCCCTTATTTATATTGATACTAAATCCAAGGGTTTAAATGTGTCGGCCGACATATCGGTTTGAGGGCTTGACCGACACGACATGAACATTTTTGACTCGTATGTCAGTTTTTAGGACCAAATCGAAAATATCAGCGTCATATCGAGCATATCGGTCTACTTTTTAGCTTTGAAAAATCGGCCGATATGATACTTTTTTAAGATCTATTTTTTGTTATTTGGTTTGTGTTTAGTGATAAATACCCAATGTTACCCGGGTACTTCATTATTGAAGCCGTACCCGTACCGGACACGTACCCGACACTTTTCCGTACCCAAACTTCATGGACACTTCTTGAATATATGCATGTATTTATTACAACATGTACTCAATTATACGATATATGTGTTAATTTAAAACACTTGTCAAAGACTTCCTGGACGTAGAGCTTACACTTCACATCCGTCTTTTGAAACTAATGGGATACAGGTCGGGTTCGTTTCAGTCCATACCCAAGTTCAAAACTATATAGTTAATGAGTTGTTTAGATGTCTAGTAAAAAATGAGTAGTTTACAATTCATGATAATCATTATGATAAAATAAACTCCAAAAATGTGATCGAAATTTTAATTCTAATGACACATGAAGCAGAAAAAAATTATCTCATGTACATTATTAATTCAATATATATATGTAGTTTGAACCCGTACCTAACATTTTACAGTTTTGTCGTGTCCCCTACCCGTACGGTGGTACCCGCACCCGTACCAGTACCAATTTCCATGCAACTTAGATTTAGGTAATAATATTAGTTCTAAATTTTTAATTAAAGTAAAAAGAGCTTTCTATTCTATTTCCTATGCAAGGAATATAGTTTTAACTTTTGAAATATTGATCTAAAGTGAATTATTTTATATATATATATAGCCGTGTCCCCGTACCCTACTTTTTACAAATTTGCCGTGTCCCGTACCCGCACCCGCACCCGCACCGGTACCCGTACCCGTACCTAGGCAACATAGTAAATACCCAAACCCGTTTGACCCGTTCTCATGTTTAAGGGTTCCTTATGAACCCGATAGAAAGAATTTATGAACCCAAATACATATATTATTTACTTTTTTATATGTTTAGTCTATAGAATTTATAAAGTATGTTTATATTAAATTTATGAATGCTTAGATTATATTTAGGACATGATATTATACATATGCGCACTACCCGATATGACAATCCGATATTTAGTCAATGTCCCCCGATATATCCCCAATTTTCGCTATCCGACATGGATTTCAGCCATCCGACATGAACCTTACATCCGACATTTAAAACATTGACTAAATCACAATTAGCGAACATCTTTACCAAACCTCTTAGTGAAGAAGATTTTTATCGCATAAGAAATGAATTAGGCATGTGCATCATTTGATTGTTTGTTTTGATGGGTTTTTGCTTGCTTTTGGTTTTTGGATTACAAATTTTCATATCTTATTATTTTTATTCCTACTCATTGTCATAACATGTTTGAACACACAAGGTTACTTAGTGGAGTGGTTGGGAGAGACCGGGATCAATTCCAAGAGGAGTGGGTTGGTAGTAAAGCCTAGAGAGAGGTCGTAAATCCAAATACTTGAGGAATATGACACGGGTAGGCCAACACTTAGAGGAGTATCTTGTAGGTTTATAACATGTATATTATTTTATTTATCCTATTTTGATATTGACAAAGGGGGAGAAAAATCTCTTATCCTTTGTGCATACAGATAGGGGCAACTATCTATAAGTTGACTTTATTTATACTCCTTTATAATGGTGGTTTGTCATCATAAAAAATGAGAAGATTATTAGTACTCTTATTTTGATGATGATTTACAAATCCTATTATTAGTGCTAATTACTTATTGAGTGATATTGTGCAGATTACATTTTTGTCAAGCAATATAACGCCACTTTTGAAGGATTGGATGGAATATGAGCTACAACGATGATATCCAAGAAGGTGGAGGTAAGCTGATGAAGACAAGCTTTCAAGAGCGACTTGCACAAGAGAAGCTTTATCAACATATGAGCAAATATCAAGACTCAAGTATTGTATTCATATGTGAGAGATATTTATATTTTTAGTTTCTCTCTAGAGCTTAATGTAGGCAAGTCATTGAGTAGATAACACTTAAAGCTATTGGGGTTCACATATACACACACATATAAAAACATGTTTTGTATCATTTTTGAAAAATAATATGTTTTTACAATTGGGAAATGATCTTTCAAAAATTTCATTTCTAACATGTTTATATTCATGTTTATAAATATTTTCCAAAGTTTTATAATTTTTTAAATTTATTTGATATTTTATTTTGAATTTATAAAATCAGATTTTTAACTATAATCAGATTTTTGGATATATCTGTTTTTGGTCGACCGGGCCTTGCCCGTCGGTTGACCGACCAGAGAGCTAGTTTTCATGACCCTACAGACAGTCACCTTCGATCGACAGATTTACACTGTGCGGTCGACCGATGACTGAGGGTCGGTCGACCGGAACAACATTGTCGGTTGACCGAAGCAGTTCAAGATTATTGAGTCTACAACGGTCAAATAGTCGGTCGATCGGATATGATCCATCGGATCTACTGTAACGGCTAGTTTTTATTTCAGCTGAATTTTTTAGGATTTTGGTACTTGTTTGGGATTGGGCTATTGTTTGGGGTTCCTATATATACCACATTGCTCTCTTCACTTCAGTAATTAAGCAAGAAAAAAATCCCTAAGTTTGTTTTTAAGTGTTCTTGAGCTCAAACTTTCAATTATCATTCTCGAGTTTTAAGTGCTTCAAGTTTTCGGTTTCTAATTTTCACATGCCTCAAACCCCAGAGCTTCATTTGACTATCTCTTGATCCTTGCTATAGGATTATTGTGAGAGATTTTCTTTCATTCATCTTGTGATTGTGTGGTGAGGTTGATCTCGAGGAGATCATTGTGAGGATTGTAAGATCTCGTGGGAAGATCGTTGTGAAGAAGTTCCGGGTTCCAAACAGGGTGTGCTTAGTGGATTTACCATCAGGAGAGGTGATCGGGGATTTAGGTCATGAGGACCGAACCTCGTGAACATATTGGCGCGTAATTTGGCTAACTATTCTCTTACTCTCTCTTATTTATTGCCGTATTTATTTTTGTGGTTGGTGTTGCATTGAATGTCATTTAATTTGCATATTTATTGTTTGATTACCCTATTCACCCCCCTCTAGGGTAATTTTATTTTGTACTACTAATAACAAATCCTTTAAAACTGAAGCTTCTCCCTATCTTCTACTTTACCCATTTCTAATCTCATATACTAATACTATATTATCAACAAATAACATACACCACGAGACTACATTTTGAATATGTCTAGTAAGTTAGCCCATAACTAATGCAAACAGATTGGGCTTAAAGCTGCTCGATGTGTTAAAGAAAGGAACAAGATAAAGAATAATAGAAAAGGAGAAGAATAAGAAGAAACTAGCATTATGCATTTAGGCTTGGCCCTCACAAACAAGGGTGAAGTCTCAAAAAGCCGTGATCGACTTTCATTATAGGGATTGGAAATAAGAAAGCAAAAGTATTTAGGCGTTTGGTCAGTTCACTATTACAGGGTATCTTTTATCTAATATATGGACAAGAAAGACATGATAAAGAGTAGACAAAGGTAAGCATGAGATGATGACAATTTGGCAGCCATGAGCTACACACACACACATATATATATATATATATATATATATATATATATTATATATATATATATATATATATATATATATATATATATATTATATATATATATTTATATATAACACACCACATATATATGTATATATATGTATGTATATGTATATGTATATATGTATGTATATATACATACATATATATGTATGTATATATGTATAGATACATATGTATGTATACATATATATATGTATGTATATATATATATACACACACACACGTACATACATACATACTGTATATATATATATGTGTATATATATATGTATATATACATATACATGTATATGTAATATGTATATATGTGTATATAGATAAATATATATACATATATATATATATGTAGACATATACATATATTTGTGTGTGTGTGTGCATGTATGTATGTATATATATGTATATACATACACACATACATATATAC